CCATTCTTTCTGTCTCGATTCACTCTCAGAGCTGGCCATGCCCATGCCCAACCGATCATGTGCTAGGGTTATGGTTATATATCAAGGAAAAAATCCTACATTCTATAATTTTTCTTTGATAAATGAGAATTCATTAGGAGTTAACAGAAAGGAACCCAAATTTTCTTCAAGGGCCAGTCAAGTTGGGCCAAGATCAGATGGACCTACGTATCAAAACCCAACTTCCTGGAATTGGAATGGGTTTGGGTAATTTGCAACTGTGATGTTTGTCAGGGAATGCTCCAGAACGCTTTCCTGCTTTGTTGGGCATGAATGTGATTGTTTTCTTCTTTTAAATACACAACGCTTTTACGAACGCATCAAATTATTCATATTCACTACATCAAATACAATATTGTCATATCCCACATCGGAACCTTGAACAAAACACTCAAAGAAACTGAAGCCAATAGAGGGCTTCTTGTGACTAAAAAAAATGAAACTAGACTCACTTAACCTAACAAGCACTTGTTCCACAATCTCTAAAGATATGAAGAGCACACAGAATAATAATATACAGTCTGGTTGGTATATTCAGATAATCCACCCAGCAGGGGCAGGGCCGAATGGACCACGCCATCCTACAATTTGCCTTGTTTTTCTTTCAGACAACACTGCATTAAGAAACAAAATTCCCAACATAATTCATCTTCCTTTGTTCATCATCTACATGTAATGTAGGTAGGAAATAGAGTTCAAATAAATCCATTCATCATTATTAACCAACTTTTCCAATAAGCTAGGAACAAATCAATCCAGTATGATTATAAAAAAATTATTAGATTACTCGTTCTTTTTAGATGCTGATTTTTCGATTCTCTCCTTCTCCATGCGTTCGAATAGGCTTCCATCATAAACAGCTCTAACTGTATCTTTGTGCAATAAACCACGCTTGTCCTTGCAAAGAACATAGAGGATCTTCCATTCTGTCCAGCTAGCAACCCTACAATAAATATTGGTTTCATCATTTCTGTTTCACTTCTCTTTAATTAGGGGACATATAATTAAGTGTTTTCAAAACCTACCATCCTGCAACATCCTTTGGCTCCCTATTCGCCTTGAGCATGCCCATCAGTTCATCTGATGTCAAAGCATCAAGATGCGTATGAGCATGCTTGCAGAAGATCTCTTCAAACTTTGAAGGAACAAACCTGGACAATTATTATTGTAATTAAATAGAAAATCCCAAAGAAAAGAAGCTGAAAATAGCAATGCTTAAACAATAAAAGTTGGTTTTAGTTTTCACACAAGGGGTTTTTTATTCTGCCTTCTGGAAAAGGAGAAAAACATAAAAAGACAGAAGCAAGCAACAATGTCCAAAAAGCACTAAACTTTCCCTGTGCAAGCAAGCAATATTAAAATATACCTTCCGTGAGAATCATAGACACCGGAGTCGCTCCCGTGTTTGGCTTTATGGATGTTTTTGACTTCAATGGGAAGAAGCGGAGAAGGGAACTTTCCCTGCACCACACCACATACAACAATTCACTCTCTCATTTGTACACATGCAACTTAATTGTACATTTCCCTAAAACAAATTACTATAATAGATATTTATAAAAATACCAAATTCTAGACATGTATTTATAAAAATACCCAAGCACTATTTAAACATAGAAACATACCAAAAATGGGTTTTGGGTATGTGTGTAATGATGGGTTTTGGGTATGTTTATAAAGTGTTTTGGGTGTTGGGTATTTTTATAATTTCAGCCCCCATTTTGGGTATTTTAGTGAAACTCCCGTTTGTTAATGTCACGTGTATTATTCTTGACAAGTTACACATTCAACCGAATATTCTTTCATCTATACGTGTAACATTAATTATATAAAAGATTAGAAATTTGCAATATGACATTGTAACTTTCATAATTAAACCCATCTAAGTATAAAACCATTTTTAGTACGGGACGGCAGAAAACTTGTATAAAACGGGGATAACATATTTTGCTATTCCCGACTAATCACAGATTATTATGTGAAAAAGTTATCACACGTGACATGCTGTGATTAACCAAATACAACAAAATAGTGCTACCCGTGTTTTTTGTCGGATGAATTCTCTCATAAGGGTAAAGCAACAGGTGTGCTAGCTGTGCTGTGGTGATCAGATCAAACATTCTTCAGCGCCACCAAGTCTAAGACTAAAAATCCTTAGATATTTTCCAGGTTCAGTTAGAAATATGTGGATGAGAATGTTCCCATGTGTCTAAACTTTTGGAGACTTGATCAAATCTATACTGTACTTTAACTTTTAAATATGGGTGATGATTTTCCCACTCCCTTTTTATCCACCTATACTCTCATTTTTTTTTTAATACTTTTTACTATGAGATAAAATGGATTGTAAGTGAACAAAAGAGGAGTGAGAACATACAATTTTAAAAAAATGGAGTGTAAGTAGATAAAAAGAGAGTGGAAAAATCAGTACCCTTAAATATTCTCATATGAGAAAGCAAATTTTATTCTAATGCCATGATAATGCTCATTCCTTTTTTACTTGTTGTAACTCATTTCGTTATTAAAACAATTTGTTTATTTTTGTAACTCACAAAGTACAAAAACCAGAAAAAGAGTATGGAGATGAAATTGTGAAATTATTGGGGGGGGTTGGTTATTTAACTAAAATCAGTTAGTAAGTTGGAGTAGGAAGAGAGAGAGAGAAATACCTCGCGAGTCTTCTGACTGAGGGCCGCATTGATGAGAAAAGAGCTTACTGTGGACAACAGAATGCCACAGCCAATTGCACGAAAACCTGCAATTGAGATCGAATTAATACACACTTATGTTTTAATTAAATATCATATATTAATTATGATCATATCTCAGCTAGATTTTGAAGAAGAAGAAGAAGAAACAAATGAAAACCTTGAAAAGTCTCCCATGGATAAACAATGCCATCATGGTTCCTGTCAAAGAAGGCTACATGTCTCTGCAGAACGTCTTCTTCATTGGGTACGAATTTATTGTTAGCTGGTAAAGAAGAAGAACCCATATCTTTGAATCAAAGGGTGTGTGTGTGTTTGGTTAGATAGAGGAGGAGTGTGGCGGTGGTGGTCGGAGGTTGAAACTTTGAAACTTGAAGAAGGTGAATTAACGAATGATGGATGAAAGGAAAGGAAAGGAAAGGAAAGGAAAGGCAACCTAATAACAAACGAGAGGAGCAACTAAAGCGACTTCTGGTTTGTTTTCGAAAATGTCAGATTCATAATATATATTTATAAAGGCCCCAAAACATAAAAACACAGGTGCCAATTTCAATTTAAAACTAAATGGCATGCTGTGCCGATAGATATCTGATTCTTATTTATTATTGAGTCGTAAAAGCTTAGCGCTGGCATGCCCCTGGCCCTCTCACGTTGACTATGGCTCCAAATTATACCACCTTTAAGTTTTTTTATTTTTTACACATTTATAAGTAATTTATTATTAATTTTTATTGTTAACTTTATCATGACAGACGTGGCACGCAGCGCATAGTGACATAGCGCATGAAACACACATATGACACAGCGAAGCAATGAGGTATAAACCAAAACCCAAAAACCATCTATCTCTGTTTTAAAAGGAGAGCATCTTCCCAACGGCACTTTTTCCAAATTCTAATTTTGATTTATTTTTGTTGAGTGATTTACTCAGCAGGGAAAACCAATTTTGTGTTGTAATAAAGGAATTTTGCGTAATCTGAGCAAAGTCAATAAATGGATTTGTTCCTTTTTAATTTTCTTCTACAGAATCTATCTATCATTATTCATTATGTTTGTTTTTTCAAAAGAAGGATTCTCCATTCATGTTTTATTTAATTTTCTTGATACTTAGTGCTCTTTAGGCATGGGCTTGGAATTTCAAAATAAGCATGGATGTGGGTTTTTGCTCCATTTGTAACGCAATCTAGTTGAAGAAAGAATTAATTAATTAAAAATGGTTAGTTACGCTGAATTGTGGCAACTAAGCTATCTATTCTATTCTATACGAAAATAACAAGAAAACATAACAAAGCAAGGAGGCGTGATTGGCTGCTTAATTGCTTTTGCTTTTGCTTTTGCTTTACAGGAAGAGGATTATGAGAAGGAAGAAAGAAAACCAAAAACAAAAAGAGGGAGGAAGCAGCGGGTGGGCACTCAACTCAACTCAACTCAACTCATATGCTTTTACGTCACTCCATCTGTCATCTCCTTCTCCTGCCTGCCTTGTCCACACGCTCCCAACGAAACCCACAAAAGGAAGCTGCTTTGCATCGACGACAATCACATTTGGTTTTTTTTATTTTAGTACCAATAATTGTAGTGTACTTGGGAAAGGAAACGAATCATTAGCTTCTCATCATTTAAGCTTAAACATAAATACAATTTTATATATCAAGGAGTTAGAAGAAGAAAGTAAAACATCTATCTATCGCCACGTTATTCAGGGTTCTGGGCATCTGCTCTGCTCTGCTCTGGTCTTTTGGGACGTGTGGAGCAGATACCCTTTTACATTTTCAAACCGCCATTAACTCTCGAAAGTCAATCCTTCTAGGAAACCTTAATCATTTGGTCGACTTCAACGGCTACAGACCAAATGTCAAACAAATTTCATCTCTACTTCTTATCTTCTTATTATTATATATTAAAATTCCATGACAGCCCTTAACTTACGCTCTTAACCAAAATTCAAACATTTTGAAACGAACAGAGAAGAGAACCATTACACGTCGAAGATGCGTTGCATAATTGCATTGCATTGTTTAATTTACATACAGGGTAGGGTGGTACAAACCAAATGGAAATGTGCACGCCAACAGAGATTCTGTTTTCTGATTGCTTCAGACGCAAACATTTTGTATCTATCCACGATACATTTTCGACTTACATTGGATTTTTCAAGGACATGTCATGTTTAGCTTAACAAACAAGAACCATAAAATGCTCGAGTCTTCTCTTAGCACACAAATCATCATTAGCCTAAGACCACGCTCCATGTTTCTCGTTTTCAACATTATTATTTATTATAAAATATTGGATCATTCATCATCTTCATTAGAAATTCATATCCAAACTTGAGGGCTTCAGACACGAAAAGAAAAAAAAAAAACATTGAAGAATCGGTATTTCGTAATTCATTGATTCATATAATTACATATCATTTACCCACAAAAACAAACTCGGTATTTGGTGCCATTTCAAATGTATTCACGTTTGAGAATCAAGAAACAGCCACCCTAATATAACATCCTCAGAAACTTACGGAGTCGTCACCCAATTCTGCAAATATAATAATAGCCAAACAAAATGCAGTCACATTCTAGAAACACAACAAGTCAGGAAAACTCGAACATTTCTAGAAACACAAGTAGTCAGGAAAACTCGAACATTTCTAGAAACACAACAAGTTAGGAAACCTCTCCTCGTCAAGGACTTGTATTCAGCTACTGTCCTATGTGTTTGTAATGTTCCTATTGTTTGTATGAAAACATAACACATATGTGTGTATATCCAGCATAGCCATATGTCACAGTAACCGATTAAATACAGCTCAAAGTTCATTGAGATGGGGGTCTTGAATTGCCAATCAAGGTTCCTCATAGAACAGTCCTCAATTACATTTTGAACTGCAGGCTCAAAGAGTTTATATTCTGAACTGCAGCCTCAAACAATAACGGAGAGGGTTACATCATGCAAACAGCTCATGGTTCCAGATGGGAGCAATTCTTAATCACATTTTTCAGGTTTAGCACATAGATGCTCCTTAACTGGTATCATTCAACCTATATGCTATATACAGTATCATATACTCATACAACTCTCACCTTAGATAATGCAACATTTCACCACAAGCCCCTTTTGATCACCCCTTCCATCTTCATTGCCTGAGAATTCATATTCAAATATTTAACTCTCCATTTCTACATGATGTGAGCAGAAAGAAAGCAATACAAGCAATTATATTCAATCAATAGAGACTTAAAAAAGAGTTAAGTATATGCAGCAAGAAACAGGAATTGACAAACCTTCAGGTGGCTGAGCTAGCTTTCGGTTTTGTGGTGACATCATCTCTTTCTTCAATTGTGTCAATATGTCCTCCATTGTATATTCCCTTTGCCAATTTGCAAGCATGGGGAAAAGACTGGGTTCAACCTGGTAATTTGTCCACCAATCAGCTTGTTTCAACCATACCATAGGAACATATTATCCGAATATTTAAAGGGTAACATCGCCTACCACTCCAGTTTCCTGATTGACACATGTCATGTTAATCCTTGTTTGGAACCTAACAGTTGGTGGATTGTCCGGATAATCCTTTCCACAGAACAGTTTCAACTGGCAAATTCTCCCTTCGTGCACAGTCTAGCAAGAAGCAAGATCAGCAAGACATTAATCTTCTATATTCAAAGAATGACATCATTTGGGATGCACCATTACATGATACATATTATAAATTTAGAAGTGCATTTGGAAAAAAAGTAAGAAACCTACATTGGGGGGGCCAATGATTGTCCCCGTCCATGACTGCATATATATATCATCGGCATCATCCATCCCATAGCTAACAGTGCCATCCCCAATTCCCTTTTCACCCCTCTCAAGCTCTTCCAGCAATCTGAAATTCCTCGGAACTGTGAACAAAAAACAAACCCAAGAGATATAATTACAATTCATGCATGAACAGAATGAATACCATAGTATAGCAATCACAAAAAAGAAAAATAAATAAATAAATATATATATATATACACTAAGACAATTGGCTTTGTTCAATGGTGGCCATTATTTATTTTCTTTTATTCTTTGAAGTGAGAGAGAACCAATAGAACATTTGCAAGAGGTAGTTGTTAACTTATAATTTCTAACTTAAGAGAGAAATGAGAAGAATATGCAACAATACATCAAACACCGCAATTTTCAGTTCTACTCTCTATACCCTGCTTTGGAGAAACCAGATGAGAAATGGTTACAGACAAGTGGAACCACCCTAGTGTTAGAAAGACATGGACATGGACATGGACATTTCTCTGATTACATTTTCTCAAGACCAGTGTTCTAAATTGATCTTTGCCCTCATAGTGCTCGTTTCCATAAGAAGAGATGTAATAACTCAAGATAGCTTACGAAATTACGATGTAAATGTAACATCTTGATATCCAATTGAAGACAATTTTGGAGTGTCCTTACGTAATGTTAAATCTAAAGATGAATAATCATGTCTTCCATATTAGAAATTACATGAACTCCCATGTAAGAGAAGATGCTAGAAAGAACTACCATGTAAGAGAAGATGCTAGAAATTTGAGGGTGTTATGGAGTATATGTTCAACAGGAAGATAATGAAGGAATTGATGCATTGGTTTGTGCCAACACAATTACTTAACTTACATCAAGATACGAGTATGAGTGTGTGAACGAGGGCAGAAAAATGGTAAAACCCCGTTTATGTGATGAATCCACATACAGAAGATAGAATGGAGGTTCATAAATCATAATTTAGCCAAACCAAATACAGATGGAAAAGGAAAAAGAAGAAAGGAGTGGCTAAAGCACAACACGACTTACTTAAGTCTCTATCTTGTCTCATGCTATTGTTATGTAAAACAATTTTTCAACATCAAGAGCCAAAATTTCCAGTTCAAAATCTTCCGCCAAATGGAAAGATAACCCAAAATTATTAGTATGGACGTAACATCAGCCAGCCCTAAACACCTGTACTGGCTACACTAGTGTAATTACATCAGGAAGGTGTTAAAACATAATAGTACCTCAAATGTACACGTTATGTGCACTGTACTGTTCCATACTAATTTCAACACAACATTCTCTGTTATATTAAACTCTAATGATGCGATTCTTAGCAGATACTTTAGGCTAAAATGACTCAAGGAACTGATACTAACATTGATTGGCATTGGAAGAGAGTCAGAAATGCAATGAAACTCCTAACAAATCTAAGCAACTATCCTAAAAATATTATGATCCAGACACATATCAGCAACCAAATTGATAAAAATAAAAATGAAAGCAAATTGATAAGCACAACTTCTTCACTAGGTTAACGAACAAAAAAGCAATTAAATTCAGATAGAAAAAGTAAATAAATTGGGCACGAAAACGGACGATTCAGGAACCAAATCCACACATAAGAATTGATTGACGCTATGTTTAGATGAACGCATGGAAAAAATGAATGCAAATATAACTGAGAGAGAGAGAGAGAGAGAGAAAATCTTAGGTGTTGCAGCAGGACTCACCGACAACGCTTGATCCTTCAGACCCCATTTTGATGTTGACTGTGCAGATTCCGAACCCAGCTGAAGATATATATATATATATATATATATATATATATAGAGAGAGAGAGGGAGGGAGAGAGAGAGAGTAACAGAAAGGCTGTGACGATGGATTGGAGACTGTCTGAGTCCAACTACGGCTGGCGAAGGGCCGAGGCACACATGGAGAAAGGATAAAAAGGAGTAAGAGGAGGAGGAGGATCCGAGTCAAGTATTCCTTCCGCTAAGGGTCTATCGCTATTCATCTACAGCCGCGCCATCTGAGACGTACATTATTATTATTCCAACCAATGCATCCCGAGTCAATATAAATCTGCACCGTACATCTGTGCAATGTAAGACGGAGCCCACGAATAAAAGAGGAGAATTGTTCTCATTAATTTCGCGGTAACAGCCTGGGATGGGACAACAGAAAAAACAAAAGCCCAAAAGCCAGGCAGTGAAACAAAGTAGAAGGCCCAAAAAAGCCCACACAATAAAAAGATACTTCACATTCACAACGTTAATTATTTGTACATATCTGATACACATTTCATGCTGAAACCTGTGACAATTGAAGAGCTTGCACAAGTCTTGACGATTAATCACATCACTGTAAACATATCTGCGAATCTGTATATTGTATTGTCATTAAACAAACATCATTTAATTAGTTCTAATAAACAAACATGGGTATTTAAACATTCTGTATCAGATTAATTTCTTGTTTTTCCTTTTTCAGCTCATTGTTGAGTAATTAATTCTGGTAGAGTGAAGTGAACACTTATTAAAATGAACGTCATTTAAAACCTTTACTGTAATCTCTCACATTTTCAAGCCTTTTCAAATATGCACTTGCAATCGACAGTTCCAGTCCATCCATTGATGAGGGGCCAATGTTATTGACAACATATGGAATGACATGTGACCCGCAGCTGCAGCAGGCAGATAACTGCAAGTTCATCTCCCGTGCGTAATATTTGCTTCACGATAAATATGCGCCATAGGATTTAAACCAATGGAGAAATGAAATTGTGTACTATTCTGATGCAGCGATCTAATTCGCTCATTTTTTAGGGTTAATTTTGAAAGAAGTCGCACATTTGAAACTACTATTACTATACGCGATTTGTAATTTCCTACATAAATTCATACCCGTGGCAGCTGACAGTTGGGTGCCACGCGTAAGTCCTTTCGGTTTGAAGTTAAGGTATTATCTTTTAACAGTTGGATCAAGCTAACCAATTTTATCCAATGATTAAGACATAGGACCTCAACTAAGAGCCATATATAAAGCCCTCACTAAAGAATTATGGCAAAACAACACTCGTAGTCCATGTGGTTTCCAACTTTTACAACTAAGGTCCCTGTGGTTTCAATTTCGTCACTTTTGCCAATGTGGTTTAGGATTCCAAGCAATTCGAGGACACTTCTCAATTTCCGTTAGATTCCTTTTAGTTATGTTAGGGCTCGAGCACGTGCCCCTCACATGGAGGGACATTACAGTCAAATCGAGCCATCTTATAAACCCAAAACACTGGCTCAACCTTACACATTCGAAATTAGGCCATTTTGGGGGAAGTTTGGGAGATGTCGAACTTTGGCCAAGCTCCAAGATGTCAATTTTGTAATGGCGAAATGAGATTGGGAATCTCTAAGAGAGATAGGACTCGTGGGAGACGTTTTTGGAAATGCACTAGATCTTATGTAATGTGCAAATTTATTTTTGTCAATTTTTGGGTATAAATGGTGAATCTAGTTTTTGTGTTATCAATTTTGGAATTGTGCTATGCAGGGAACACTTTATTGTGCGGATTTATTTGGGATGATGAACCAATTAGATTCAATCAAGCAAGCAGAGAGAATGAAGCAGTGAGAGAAGGTGAAGGCATTAATGGCTGCTTGGAAGATGAATTTCATAAGCCCAAAAGTTGCAAGATTCTACTGTAAATTCCCTAAATGGAATTAAGGATTTGTTTTTGTTGATTTGTGGATTTCTACTATTAATTTATATGTTGTTGATCATGATTGTGGTTATGAAGTTGGTAAAAAATTGAGCGTTGGCACCATTCCCATATGTTATGTATTTTGAATGTTGTAGTTCTTTTGGTTTCAAAATTTGCAAATAATGTAGAATGGGAGCTTTATTTTGATTCAAATTGCCTTATTCAATTGACATTTGTTTCAACAGCAACTTGACAATTTCATGCTACAATAAATTTCATGTTTACTCATTTGATATAACAAAATGCTAAATACTGCTAACAATCAATCTGCTGCTCACATTCAATTCCAAAAAAGTCACTTCCAATTCCAAAACAACTTCAAAATGCTATTACATAACAAATGTTCCAACAACTAAAAAGCTTCAGAATGTTAACAATTGATGTCACTTTCAAAACATGCAGCCATTTAAAATACTTTTACATTCAAAAGGTGCAACAATTGAAAGGTCCAACACTTCAAAATACTTTTATATTCCCAACTTCATTAATTCACAAAATAGTCAAATATGAATATGTTTCACTTCAGTTGAATTTCTACTTTATTCACTTCCTTGGTGCTTTCCCTAGTGGTTTTCATGAAGCACTGTTGCTCACTCCTAACAGTCTTGGACCTTGCCTTGGAGTTGGATGCACAGAAGCATATGGATTCACAGAGGCAGAAGCAGATGGATTCACATAGGTAGAGGCAGATAGATTCACAGAACTCGATACACCTTGCTGCAAAGTTGCATGTGATGAGCTTTTCCTGATTTGCATTTAAAAAAATAAGTTCACCAACTTCATTGTGCTTCCAACATTAGTTGCTATGACCTCATCACAATACTCTCGCAACCTTGAGTATTGCTCCTTATAAGTCCCTTATATTATCTCATTGGCCTTGTTCTTAGCTCTTGCACATTAACTATCAGACACATTATACCCTAAACATTGTGCAGTTATCCTCCTTTTATCATTTTTCACAAATTTAATACGATAATTGCCTTGCACTACATAATTCTTCACAGCTTTTTTCAAGTCTTCCTTTCTTCCAAATAACATTCCCTTCTCAAAGTTAAGGTTATCCAAATCAGACTTACAAAACTCTGAAAATTTTCTCCTTCTTTCACCTTCCTCATCTAAAGAGTAATTAGAGAGTCAAATCATTTCTCAGAGTTTGTATCATTGTATTCTTCACAAGCAGCAGCCACAAAATCTTTAGGGAGATAAGTATTTCCTACTCTCTCAAAGTTGGACTGAAAATCTAGATCAAATTTGTTATTGTCATCTAGGGCAGCATCATTGTCACTCTCATAAATCTCCTTGTCTTATTCATCAACACTATTTTCAAATTCTAATCTTCATCTCCTACCATCAATATTAATGTCTTCTTCAACACTCTCTTCTTCTTCATTACCCTCTTCATTGATGACATTCCCAGCCAGCTCTACATGAACCTCTATAGTTCCTATATTAGGTACTTGTTCTACATATTCTTAGGTTAACTGCGATTGATAATTAAAAACCTCATCAAAAAAGGCATTTGGAACGTCATCAAATGCTGCATTATAAAGCAATTGAGGTGACCCAACATCTGGAAAATTTTGGCATAACCAAATAAGAACAAAAATGCAAAGCATGCATATTGAATACTTTATGCAAATAAATAGAGACACTACGCTTCCTAAAGCCTTTAGGAGTGAAAACTTGCACGAGACCACTGTTTTTACTTCCTATTCCAACAAAAACTACCGTTACTTCCTAAAGCCTTTACTTTCCCACCAACTATCCCACTAAGAGACAAACTCAACCCAGTACAAAAGGATACAAATTAGGGATTTCTCCAGAAATAACACATGCAGACAATTGAAAAAACAAAGCATTGAAAGCAACAAACACTTTAACCATTGAAAGCTCCTATATCAAATTGAAACTAAGTTAAATAATCAAGCTCTTTCTAACCTGGTTTGTTGAAGCTTCCACTGCCTTCTCTTGTGCTTTTCGTCATTTTGGTTGTGTAACCAGCTCCTTCAATAGATTAACTTTTACGCACATATGAGAATTTTTAATTAAACCCTAAACGGCCCAAAAGAAATCCCTAATTTGTGTTTGAGGATTCTAAGCAATTTGGGGACACTTCTCAATTTCCATCAAAAATCCCTAATTTGTGTTTTTAATTAAACCCTAAAAGGACATGGTAAAAGTTGGAAACCACACGAATGCAAGTGTCGTTTTGCCTAGAATTATTGCTTCCACTCCACTCTACTTTTGCTGATCATGTGTTGAGCAAGGAAAGGAAGAAATATGGGAGTGTTTGTTGGTCAATGCCGTGCCATCTGAACTTTCGTCCCTAAATTGCTATTATTGAATTACTGGTTCTAATCACGACCACGTACGTGGCTGTATCGTATCTACTATCTACTTCTACTTCCTTGCTCAAATTCTTACAAGAAGACATGAGAACTGAAACACAGGCACCCTACTCGACCCACGAAACCATGGCGGCCAACACCACCGTGATTGGCCAACAGGATTATGATAGAGCTCAACAAGTCAAGCAATTCGATCAATCCAAGCTCGGAGTCAAAGGCCTCGTTGACTCCGGCCTCACCTCCATCCCCCGTTTCTTTATCCACCCGCCCGAAACACTAGCCGACCTCCGACCCCATACTAAACCCCAAACCCAGCAACAACCGATCCCCACCATCGACCTCTCCGACCTTCACACCCATCGCCGCTCATCCATCGTCCAACCAATCAGCTGCGCCTGCCGAACATTCGGTTTCTTCCAGATCACCAACCACGGCATCCCGTCTGCGGTTCTGGACCGTACGATTGCCGGCATCAAGGCCTTCCACGAGCAGCCGACGGAGGTCAAGGCGCCGTTCTACAGCAGAGAGATGGGCACGGGCGTATCTTATCTGTCCAACGTCGACCTGTACAGCTCAAAAGCCGCCAGCTGGAGGGACACGCTTCAAGTAAGGCTGGGACCCATTCCAGCGGTTCCTGAAGAAGTGCCGGAGATTTGTCGGGACGAGATTGTTGGGTGGGACGTGGAGATCCGACGGCTGGGAGAGGCGCTGATGGAGTTGTTGAGTGAAGGGTTGGGATTGAACGCGGGGAGGTTGAGGGAGATGACGTGTCTGGGAGGGAGGGTGATGGCGGCCCATTACTACCCCTACTGCCCCCAGTCTGATCTGACGGTGGGGCTTACATCTCATTCTGACCCGGGAGTGTTGACCGTGGTACTTCAGGACCACATGGGTGGGTTGCAGGTTAAGCACGGTGAGGATTGGGTGGACGTGAAACCCGTCCCCGGCGCTCTTGTTATCAACGTTGGAGATTTACTTCAGGTAAGTGTAAAATACAAGCAATAATCTAACGGGAGCGGTCGTTTTATTTTTACTTTTAATCTTTAAAATTAAATACTTTGGGGTTGATTGCTTTGCAGATTATGTCCAACGGGGAATACAAGAGTGTAGATCATCGGGTGTTGGCAAACTCAAACCGCGAGCCACGGGTGTCAACTGCAGTGTTTTTCAATCCAAGCAATAGAGAGGGCACCTATGGTCCATTGCCAGAGCTGGTCGCACACGAGAAACCGCCACTTTACCGAGAGTTCACGTTTTCAGAGTTCATGCAAAGGTTCTTCAATAAAGGATTGGATGGCAAAGCTTTGGTCAATCACTTTGAGCTGTAAAAAATACCACCTCACCAAACTGTACTGTGTGTAACTCATATTCTGTAATAATAAGACTTTTAAACTTCAATCTTATGTATCAGGAAAGTTGATAGATTGTGTGGTAATTTATCTTCCTCAAAGGTTATGTAGATTATTTGAATTCAAGAAGCTTATATGGCCTGTGTTCAAAATCAAATTGATGCAAATCTGCACCTAAAAAGATTTCGATTCAAAAACCGTATTTCTTAGGTTCAGATAGAGCACTAGCTGTTGCTAGCTTTCCATCCCCAAACCAGTCAGACATCTCTTCATCATCTGTGAAATCAGAAAGCTCTAAGCTTCTTGGAATACTGGCAGACCTAGATCCATCATCGTTTGCCATATACCTCATGCCGCCTTTGCTCCTCTCTAACATCTTCAACTTCCATTTGTCCCTCTTCTGCGGATTCCGAGACAGCTCGGTCTTACCTCCTGCAATGGGGAAATCTACAAATCCAGAAGCCTCATTCCATGACTTTGAGTGACTACCGTCATCATCTCCTTCATCCACAAATCTCCACATGCCGACACCTCTATCTTGACTCTGCCTACATTGCCCCGCATATGATTGATCATTGACGTCAGAGTCAACTCCGACAAAACTCAAACTGTTATTATTAGGGTAGCCTCCATCTTCACGTACAGGTTCAGCAGAAGCCTCTGAAGAATGTACTGCCTTAGGTCTTTTATGATCACATTTTAAGCACACCATGTTTCTCCTAAAGTTAATATAATTGCAACTGCACGAAAAACGGATATTTAGTCATATACAAGTAAAGTATAAATCTGGAATCACTGGATTCAGAAAAACTCACGAGTCGCATTCCCACTCTCCAGGATTTATATGCCGCTTTGGAGGCTTCTCTTTGCATTGTAAGCATCTACCATTCTTTGCAAAGTTTAAGAAATTGCATCTGTAAAGAAAATTTGATGTCTCAATAAGAAATGGAACCACATGTGGAAGAAAGTTAAGATCATAGCAGCCATTACTTGTCACATATCCAGTCGCCCTTCTTCAATGGAAGATGATCCTGATCCTCCCTTAGTTTTGCCAGTCTTTCTTCAGATAGTTCATCACAACGTAGGCACTTGATATTTCTGGCGAAGTTTAGGAAGTTGCATCTGCCAAAGGGAATATTAAGAAGGGTAAAACAACTTATCAAGATTCAATAATCATAAACAACAAGATCAGCTGTCAAATTACTTGGGGCAAAGCCAGTCGCCTTGCTTCATTGGAACATTTATCTGCAATTTTTCTTGTGAAATTGAATGGTTTGGCACTGATGCAACCCTTTTCATGGTTGTACTTGTAGACTTTGGGATATTGGAGTCAAGGTTCTCATTGCTGTAATCTACCATCTCTTTCAGTAGCCTTCTCACTGATTCTTTGACCATCTGGTTTAGGCATGGCTTGTTCTCCACTGTACCAGTAATGGGATCAAGCCCATACGTTAACAAGAAACGCATGACATCCACAGTACGCCCACCTTCATCTTCACGTGCCTTCACATATGCTCTCTCACAGTCTCCTCTCAAATTGCACGAGCTGCAGACCTACTAAAATGCCTGTTCTTATTAGATATGACGATTAGATCTCAAGCTTTCTTTCTAATGAAAGGTTAGTTGGATGCTAAATACTTTTTTAATTTCTAAAGTAGAAGTACATAAGATGTTGAGAACGAGAGAATTCATTATTAAACGGAAGAGGGCTGAAAATACTCAGAGACTAAGCACATACATCTCCTTCATTAATGCCCACATGTGCCCTTAGACGCTTTCCCGAGTTGACAACTTTCCTATCTAAGCTTGGGCATCCACATCCTGCAATGGTCCGGATATCTTTCCTTGACAATAGCCTGGCCACAAAGGGAATTTAATGAACTAAGGTCTAGAATAAAATTATCAGGTTTCAAAGCAAAATCAGTAAATAACATATGCCCTCCTGAAAACCAAAGACTGGATTCTCCACAAACAACCCTTGGTTCTAAATCTATCTCGATATGGCGGATATGAATCTATTGTATCCAGATAAGGTGAGCTCATGAGCAATTAGCTTTCATGAGACCAAAGCAAGGAGAACTTCAGTGCATTGGAAAAATCTCATATCAACCTGCTTCCAGGTTACAGAAACAAGATAACAAAAGAGCAAACACACACACGCATACAGAAGTGATATGAAAATGCAAGCATGTGGAAAATTGATAGTAATGATAAAACAAAACAGCTAATGTTATTTCTAACTCCAACCACGAAATCTGCTGCTGAGGTTACATAACAATTGAAATACCCAAATTGAAAAAACATTTTATCCCATGCTTTATATTCAAATGCATATCGTTTATTAGATTCATAACCTCAAAAAGGAAAAGAAAACAACTTTATAATTCATACTCTCCTCAAAACCAAAACATCATCGTTACCTTATAAGACTACAACGGTCCCGAGCAAAATTCAGGCATGCTGTTCGTATACGATTTGATTCCTTTGGACCCAGTTCAGCATTCCGAAACGGGTTTTCGTCTCCTTCAAAGTAACCTCTTTTCAACAAGCACTCCATCAGCTCCACCCATTCCCGCCACGGATGCGAAATCTGCGCCGTACAATCTTCCGCATTCGTCAGGCTTCCCCGATCGGACAGTTCATCGGTGCCTGACGCCAATTGGGTGATCTTGTATGTGGGTTTTGAGTCTTTTGACGATTGAAGCTCTTTAACTTCATTCACTATGAAGTCCAGCTTTGGATTGGGAGCTAGGGTTTCGCTAGGGCTGTGAAATTGCGAAATTGGTATGAGAAATTTTGGGTTTTGGAAGTGGATTCTGAGGACAGGATAGAGATTGTCATGGCCGGTTTTGAGAAGCTTGTACATTTGACAATATTTGGCAGAGCTTTGTGATAATTTTGGCGGAAAAAGACTCGGCCTGACCGTTAAGTTTGTTTGAAGTTTAAACCCTGCTTACTTCAGTTTACATCTCGCAGCAGAAATGCGTATAAGATTTTATAAAGTTTGGTTGTGTTTGGAAACAAGTGTAAGCTGTCCAAATTTTTAACAGTGCTCGAATCGGATTGCGAATATGTCCGAGGAGTTTAGATCGCATGTACCCAAAATGCCCTCAATGTCTCCTCTTTATTCACAAGCAGAACATCAGAAGGCCAATGGTGTAGCTCATTGTATAGCTAAATTTGCTGTTAACTGTTCGCATCCATGTGAGTGGGTCGAGGTGCCCCCTGGTTTTATCCAAGACGCCCTTGATGTCGATAGTTGTACTCGAGGTCGGGCTCTTCGCCCCCCTTGTCCGTTTGCTTTGTTATCATGAGTATTCTCTTCTTGTACGCGAGGCTTTCTTCAAAAAAAAAAAAAAAAAACATATATCAATATGTAATGTCTTTTTTTTTTTTTTTCATAATATATTATGACTGCTGTAGTTAA